GTATTCTGCGTCGGCCATTGTCTGTTTACCGCGCCGCAGGTGAAGAATGTTCGTGCGAGTGGAGGGTTGGGTTCTGAGAGCGTTCATGCATGGCTGTTCGCTGTTAGGTTTCGGCCGGTGGGCTCCGATCACGTCCGCTGCTCTCCGATTGGTTCGGGTGCAGCCGGGGGGATTCGCTGTAGATCGAGTCACATGACATGGATTTGCTGCACGACTCGGGGGGTTGACTACTTCTATGTCTTGATACTAGAAGCAGGGTGTAGAGTTCCTTCCCACTATCTTAAAGGATACATCTTATTTGAGTTGTTCCTCTGAGTGACCTGGTTGTCAGAAGACAAGGGCAAGCGTCGCGTCGGCAAGCTTTAGCGCTCGAATACCACGTGGCATTATACATCCTACGGAGAAAGTACTTAAATACTTAAAAAGAACAAACCCAGCTAATGTAGGTTACTTGAACCCGTAACGTCTAACATGACGAACGAAAATGCGGTTTGATGGACAGTTAGACAGAGCATTCCCTATTGAACATTCTTGGCTGATGCAAACAATATCTTTCTTTCTATTTCTGAATCCAAGCCAAGGCGATATCGAAGTCATGCTTCCCGGGACATGGCAAAAACCAACGACAAACACGAAACACGAAACCCAGTTTCACACGCACATCAGAACAGAAACACCTGATCCGTAGCCTTCGACACCACCCCAGGCGGCTGATACCCCAATCCAACCAAATTGCCCTTCATCGCCTCATTCATCGGCGGCGGCCCACAGAGAAACACCCGGGTATCCGCCGCCGGCGCCGGGAACGCCTGCTGGATCAGCTCCTGCGTCACGAACCCCTTCCTCCCGTCCCACGTCCCCTCCGGCCGCGAGAGCACATACTCCACGCGGAACCGCCCAGGGAATCTCGCGGCGTAGGTATCCAGCTCCCCGCGGAGCAAGATATCCCCCTCCATGTTATTCGCGTACAGCAGGGTAATCTCGATCTTATTGCCCGGGTCATCCAGCGACGCGCGGATGATCTGATACATGGGCGTGATGCCCGTGCCGCCGGCGATCATGCCGATGTGCCGGGCGAAATCCGGGCTGAACTTCATCGCGCCTTTGGGTCCGCGGATCTCGATCTCCTGGCCGAGGGCCATCGCGGCCAGGTGCTGCGTCATCAGTCCCTGGTCGTAGACTTTGATCAGGAGCTCAATACGGCCCAGGTCGCTGTTGTTGGAGATCGGCGTGTAGGAGCGGGAGACGCTCTGCCCGTTGATGCTGGCGCGGAGGGCGATGTGCTGGCCTGTCGGGAGGCCGAGGCGGTCCTCTGGGTGGGGTAGGGCGAAGACGATGCGGTAGACGCTCGTGGCGATAAGGTCTTTGCGGATGAGTTGGAACTTGCGCCATTGTTTGGGGTCTAGGGGGTGCGTGGCTGTGGCGGTTGGGGTGGTGATGGGGGAAAGAGTGCGGGTGGATTTGAGAGCGGATTTGAGGACTAGGGTGTCGGAGCGGGAGGGGCGGTAGGGCTTGTGGGATGCGAAGCTCTCTTGGACATCGAGGTTGGTGGAGAGCCAGACGGTGAGAGCACCGGTCAGACTGATTTGGAGAGCGCTGCCAATGCCCACCCCGGACCAGAAGGAGGATCTGGAAGTTGTCCCGGAGGGAAGATGGATTTCTTGGAGGAGACGTGGGAGGAACAGGTGAGGCTGGCACAGTATCTCGAGCCCGTTACTGTATACACCATAGCCCAGTCCAGCAGCCACGCCGAGAGGAATGGCCGCGAGGAGCGATTTGACTAGAAGGTGAAGGGTGGAGCGTTGTCGCTTGCGCACGTCGACAGCAGCGACCTGGGATATTTTCTCGAAGGTCGGACGATACACCTCGATGGCTTCGGCTTGGTCCTGCGGTCCGGTTAGACAGTTCTGCACTCCCATGGTAGACTTGAGCGCAAGAAATATACCTCCACTGCAAGCTCCCCGATCAGATATGGCCCGAGAAGCTCGCGTGCTTCGTCCGAGTGTCCAATTTCCTCGAAGGCCTCGGTGGCATCCAAGCCAGCCACTTCTAGCAAGACAGGAACACCACCAGGGTGGTCATCGAGATAGGTAGTGATGTTGTAGACTAGACGTATGAGTATTGAGGCTGTTAACGGCTATATGGTTGTGAGAGTTGATACCTTTATTGTGCAAAATGATCCAGACATCGTCTTTCTTGTTATGGCTTCTAACCTGCTCGAGGGAGTATGTGGTTGACGCCATGAGGGCTGACGGGAGAAAGTTGATAATTGCGATAACGGACGGCAGGAGGAAGGGACAATCAAGTGCCTGCATGGCGTGAGGAATGCGAGGTTTCGTTGCTCATATATCTAGGGGACAGCCTCAGCCATTGAAGATCTGTCCTTCAACGAAGGGGAATGTTGCCGATTGCCACTGTCAGAAAGCCGTGACGGTGAATGCCGAAGGGGCTTCGTATGTACTTCGCACGAACCTCGTACGAACTTCGGCCGCGACAGACACTGCACGTCGCCACTCCACTCACCAGTCGGAAGGGCGGAAATTCCAAGGAAATCTTTCACTCGTAACTTTACCTGTAGCTCCAGACACCGCAGTTTGATATGCACAGTCTGGCGTATGTGTTCCGACCTCCGACCAGCGTACACAGAGCGACAATGTCTTTATATAAAGCCAGGGAATCAATGCTTCCATCTTTCACACTTGTATAACCCTGGCTTCACCTTTGCAAACACTCAAGCACGATACCTTTCTGACTGTTCGTATTCACAAGGTTTTTAACCCGCTGCGGATATGTCGCTCAAGACATTTTATTTGATCGGTGACGATGCCTCAGCACAGGAGGTCGCCGTACAGCCTTCGTGGAAAATTGAAGACCTCAAAAGAGCAGTAGGCCTAGCCTTACATGTAGTCCAACCCCTGGGTAAGCCATTGCTGGATGGACCTCCATGTTACAGACAATTTATAGACGACGGCGCTAACACTAGTATCTAGGTATCACATTCCACCCCTTAGCCGACAGTCAGACACTGGAAGCAGTCAACGACGTGCTTTCAACACCCCTCAACATCGGACTCCGCATCAATGGCCGGGCAGTGCAGTCCCCGCAAGGACCAGAGGGGTTGCCTTTGGTAGGCAGCTTCTACGAGATCTTCCCCGATCATCTAGGCAACCACTATCGACTGTTCCGCAAATACGGCTCGGTGATCAAGACAACCAACATGGGCAAAACGACCTACTTAACCGACGACCCCGAGGTAGCGAGCATCGCACTGCAGGAATCGATCTACTTTACCAAGAACATCAACGAGAACCATCCCCTCTACGGGGTCAAGGACAACACCGCCATCTTCATCGGCGACACAGAGACTGAAAACTGGCGTCTGGCCCACCGCTTCCTCCCACCGGCTATGGGCCCCAAGGCCGTGCGCCACTACACCCCACTGATGCAGGAGTGCGTCCGCAGTTCGTTCTCCGTGTTCGACGCCCTCGACGCCCAGGGCAGCTCGTTCAACGTGTACCAGTACATGCTCAAGCTCGCCTCCCAAACCATCGGCAAGTTCTCGCTCAACGCCGACTTCGAGCACTTCACCGGCGTCGACGCCCCGCTGCACCCCATCGTGATCAGCATCGCCGACCTCCTCTCCCTAAACAAAAAAGTCACAGCCCGGGGCAACTGGTACCGCTCCTTGCCCTTTGGCGACCCAGCCCGTCTCCGCGAGGTCCGCCGGACCTGCTACACCCTACTACAGGAATACATTGACAAAGTGAGGGAGTCGGGCATCAAGGACCTCCCACTCAACGAAGCCGCCCTAAAAGCCTCCTGCGTTGTCGACTACCTACTCAAGGGCGTAGACGACAAAGGCGAGCACTTTCCGACCCCCCTCATCCTCGCCAACATGATGATCGTCACGGGCGCAGGCTTCACGACCACCTCCGCGCTCCTATCCTGGCTCATCTACAGCCTGGTCACCTACCCGGGCACGCAGGACCGGCTCCTCCAGGAACTCGTGGACCACAAAATCTCCCACGATTCAGCCTGGACCCCCGAGCTAGCACATAGCCTGCCCTACCTCGACAACTTCGTCAAGGAGACCCAGCGCCTCCACAACGCCTCCTTCCAGCCCGGCCGCACCACGAAAACCGATGTTGTCCTGCCAGGGGGCTACCGCCTGCCCCCGAATAGCGTGATTATCCCCGCCCTGTACGCCATCCACACCAACCCGGACGTCTGGCGGGATCCCTTCCGCTTTGACCCGGATCGCTGGGATACCGAGGAGGTCAAGCAGCGGCACCGCTGCGCGTACATCCCTTTCGCCACGGGCCCGCGCGGTTGCATCGGGTTCAACTTTGCTCTGCTCGAGGTCAAGGTTCTGTTGTCTGAGCTGGTGTACCGGTATGAATTTACTCGTGAGGGGCTGGAGGCCGTCGAGTATGACCCTGAGTTCCAGTTGATTCGGCCGTTGAATTTCTATGTCACCGCCAAACGGCGGACCAGCTGGCCGAAGGCTTCGGCTCGGTGAGACGGGGGGAGATGGCACCTAAGGTTGGGATTGAAATGGCATGGCTGGTGTATGTATATAGATTGAGGGTAGAGATAAAGCCAATGTGTATGTGGATTGTGCGCTTGTGATTCCCTCAGTAGATGTCATGACGGAATTACAGCTATAGTGTAGGTGCTTTTAGATGGCCCAACAGGTCGAATAGAATTTCAAGATAGCTACTTTGTCGGTGGATAGACTGTGTATTCAAAATAGAGGAGTGGAAATAATTATGAGCATATGGTCATTTGTACTACGGGAACGGGGGCTTTAACGATGGGAAGCTGAAATTACTTCATAAATGGGACATTTCTCATCCATCTGACCTATGTATGATGGTTTGGGAGAGCTTTTGAACCAGGTCCGCTCATACAGACTTCCGGTCTGCGGATTTGGAGATTCCCATAAGACCCTCCCGGGCTCCCGGGACAATCATCGCATTGCGATCTCACAGAGTACCAACCTACTGTACGCTGGCAGACCAGTTCGAGACGGAGAGCGTGGCCGGACCACCCGTGAAAGGCTCGGTGCCGAATTGGAGCGCTATCAGGTCATTCTGTTAGAAACGAGAACCCTCTCTCACTGACAGAATTTATCAATTGCAAGGGAGAGGGGCTAAGGCTGGCTTACTGATGAGATATTGGCTGGTGGCGGGAAAGCCTTGGTTCTGCGTCAGGTACTTGAAGAAATCGTTGACGTCGCCCTGAAACGAGGTGATCGGGGTCGGAGCCACAAAGCTGTAGGTCTTCTGCGAGCCATTGGCGCCGTACCACAGCTCCCAGGTTTGGCCATCGACCGTGGCGGTCGCGATCTGGGATCCAATGGGCTGAACGCCGCCGTAGCGAGCAAGCCTATTTTAACGGAAATGCAGGGTGAGATGATGGACTCGGTTCGCATGCCGCAGGGCCTTCTGGGCGCGCTTGGTTTCAAGAGAAGGGTACGTACCAGATCATAAGCTCATAGTCGCCACTCCAAGTGACATGGTTGATATCCGCCGCGGTGAAGAGATCGTAGGCCACGTCCGCGCGGATGCCAGTGTTATCATAGCTCCACCGGGCGGTGGTAGGGATCTGGCTGATCTGGCTGACGAGCTTCTTGTTGAAGGTCAGCCCGGAGTTGGCGTAGCTTTTGACCGAGTTCTCCCCGCCAGACCAGTTCCATTTGGTCGACCAAGAGGTGCCCGCGCTGGAGGCGGAGTTCACGGTGGTGCATTGCGAGCCGGAGCCGGCGTCTTTGCCCCACAGGTTGTTGTTGATGGTATACACGCCGCCGGTGTAGGTGGCGTATTGATCGCAGAGTTGCGCTTGCTGGGCGACGGCGGCACCGGCGAGAGCTGCCAGGAGGTGAAAGGCCTTCATTTTCAAGGATGGGCAAGGTTTGCTGTGATGGTCGATTGTGGACGATTGAGCTGGTAAGTGAGATAGGGGTTCTGTTGAGAGATTTATAGGTTGGAAATGTATACTGCAGCTGGTGGCTCGGCTTGGGTGTCATGCTTATCCGCATTTCAGACTCTGAGACAGTCAGCACGTTTAGCAACTCAAGTCCGAAGCTAGTGTATCGAAGAAGTGGAATTTAGCCCCACACACCGGAGGTTTTGGTAGGAATGGGACCAGCCCGTGCCGAATAATGCGATTCAAGCGGAGGATGTCAGTCTTAGGCTGTATCAATGGAAACCCGGGGAGCATTCTGCCAAATCTGGCACACGACTGTGGCAGCAGGGCATGATTCATGCCAACTGTGTCTTCGAAACGCTCTACATGGCTAGGTGGGAAAAGATGTTCCAGGCAATCAATGCTTCAGATGCCGGACGCTTCCTTCAGGGCTTACCTACAGGGTACTTACCTACTGGCGAGTGTATTAATGTGAGAGCGATTCTGCAGGATAGACATCAATTCTACTCTACGCCTCCGTCTAATTTTAATCTGGACGTCGCGGTGCTTAGCTCTGTAGCATCATTCGTGTCCCGGTAGCGTAAAGCCCCTTTCCGTCCCAGGCTAAAGTGGATAAATGAACGTCAGGACGGCGATCTAGGCCATGAAACCTGAGACCATCCTCTGCGAGATTTCTGGAAGGCCCGACCCATGCCGTATTGTTTGAAAGCTGCAGGACCCACTGCCGAATCATTGGTAAACCCCAGCGTGATGTTGTCGGGGAGGCCTCGGCGGCATCGAGGCGGGGGCTGAGAAGGGGCCTCGGCATTGGCGCCACAACGTCCGTGAGGAAACCAGGGTCCGTTTTAGCCTGAGACCCGTCCCCGACGGCAGAAGCATAGATAGCGTGCTTGGTGTGCGGACGCTACGACGTGAAACAACTCTGCCTAGCTGAGGTGGAGACACGCGGAGATGTTCCCGTCGGCAGTTTACAGGGGCTCCAAATTGCCGGCGGGAGATGCTAAGCGAGGGACGAATCTGCAGAGCCAGGAAGGCCAAGGCAGACCAGGGTCCAGCGCGCGTTACTAGTCTGGGTGTGCGAAATTTAGCCTCGTTTCTGGAATGTGGGGCCGGACCCTGAATGATGGCCAGAAATGTATTCTGAGGCAAGAAGCAGGACAAGCCTCGAGGGCATGGGCAGCCGACACTGGATCTGACTGTGTTGGCTGGAGATTAATTTTCAGTTTCCTGGGACTACCTCCCATCACCACCGCTTTTGCTTCTCAGACACCTGGCGTGAAATTACATCGGACTGGAGTACCTGGGATTCGGGATTACCACGGTTATCCACGGGCTGAGACGATGTGGGGCGGGCTCAGTGGAGTTTGGTAGGGCTTGCTCACAGTCTGCAACATAAATCGAGGTTGAATGGTCCTTAACGTCCAACTCCTAATTCTAGGTACTATGGACAAAGAGGGTGGAAGCTGAATGGTAAAATTTGTAGCGGACATCACAGTTGCTGCCTAGATCATCCTCATAATATAATACCTACTGGACAGCTCCGTTCTCCACCTGGGGTCACCACCCCTGTGCTACGATCTGCACACCTAGTCAAACCCCGTCCCGCAGACCTAGAGCAGTGTTCTCAACCTGACTGGTCGATGGGAAGCCCACCTGCTACAAAGGGGTTGCGATGGCTGTATACGCAGGCGTTGTGGTATAGTTGCCGTCGAAAGCTAGAAGGCTGGACCTGTCCGTCCTACTATATAATTTCAGCTCATCAACGAATACACAACTACCAGAGCCAGTCCTACGCACAGCTAAATCTACTATCGGCGTCGTTACTCATAACTGTCGTGACCGTTGCAAGGGCGGAGGCGGCGGGCAGATCGGCGTAGTGAGTATGGGTTATTCATGCTTTTAGGGTTGCCTTGGCTGGAGTAGAGGTTCCGATCAACCTTCCTTTTTCTTTTTTCGTCTTTTACAATTAGAGCGGGGTATTGGACTTACTTTATATTCCGATGCAAAAAGAACTGGTCAACGAGTTTGTGCTGTGATCCGGATCTTCTGCTGCTGTTTGTCTTTTCTAGTATCGGACTTATATTAGGCGCATACGTAAAACCACTGAGTGTAGATAATAATTAGACCTCGTGTCTATGTGGGGGGAAATAAGCTATGTAGTGAACATCATGGAAATATTGTCAGAGCTCTAGATGTCTACTATCTACGATTTGGCTTTTGTCAAAACAAGAGCTGTTCCCCAGTCATTACTCAGTACTGAAGAGGCGATGAATCTGCCCTAACCATGGGCCATTATGACTATCTTGATATCCTCACATACCCGATGCATTTTTACCCTCCTTACTGTACATTTCATCATGGAGGGAGTTACTGATTTGATAGAGGCGCGAAATAACCTTCGATTATGAGCTGAATGAGTAGGTTGAGTAAAGCATCCGTCAACACAGCGAAAGCAGCTAGAAAGTGAGAACTCGAATACAATCTCTTACACAAGTTGACCCGCATCCTTTCTACTCACGAGTGGATGCGTCTTATTGAACAAGTTGGTTGGGTCATACTTCGCCTTGAGAAGGCGGAGACGGTCCAGATTCTCGCCAAATAGCTCCTCGATACTGCGGTCCCCAGCTGTACTTCCAGTCAGCATAAGTCAATTTAATGTTGAAAGGGGATCGTCAACTCACTTTCGACAAAGTTGGAATAAACCACAGCACCCGCTGCCTCCTCCCCCTCTCTTTTCTCCGCCTCAGCGGTGATCAACGCCTTGAGATGCCGCCCTTTCTCGCCCGCGCGCGCATCATCCTTCTCATCCATCCACCAGATCTGCACCACCCCATTTTGACACCGACTGCGGTTCGCAAAGGCCATCTCCCCCCGCGGGACCGCAGCTACCTTCCCCAGATGACCAAACTCAAACACGACGTACGACTTCACCCAGGCCGGTTCCTCCTGGAGAATCGCGCCCAGTTCCGTCAGCACCGCGCGCGCCAATCCGGGCCGCAGCGGCATCGCAAACGAGAAGCCCTTAGTGTTCTTCCGATCTCCATGCACCGCGATCCCGTTCAGCATCGCGTTGACCTGGCAATACGGAACCATGGCCAAGGTATTCATGACGGGATCCATCTTGAGCAGCGGGGCGTACCGCCGTCCTGCCTCTTCCTCGCTCGTGATCGACACTACGGCTGCGAGAATAGTCGGCCCCGTGCCCCGAGGTGCACCCGGAGGCACTGCGAGGAAGCACAAGATGGCCGATCGACCATCTCCCCCTTGACCGTCATCAGCCACCAACGCATTCGCAAACCCCACCACCTGCTCCAGTTTGTCCGGGGTGAAGCCCAGCAAGCCCGCAAAAACCTCGTTCTTCTGCTCATGTGCCTGGAAGGTGAATTCCGTGACGATCCCGAAGTTATGCCCGGCGCCGCGGAGGGCCCAGAACAGATCCGGGTGGAGAGTTGGCGAGGTGGCCAGAACCCGGCCGTCGGCTAGCACCATTCGCGCGGACAGGAGGTTGTCGATTGTCAGTCCGTACAGGCCCGTCAGCCATCCGTAGCCGCCGCCCAGCGTGAGGCCTCCGATGCCGGTGTGGTTGACTACGCCGCCAACCGTCGCGAGCCCGCGCTGGCCCAGCGCGGTGTCGACATCCTCCCACAGCGCGCCGCCCTGCGCGGTGACCATGCGCGCCTCTGGGTCGACGGTGACCCCGCGCAGGCGCGAGAGATCGAGGAGAAGCCCTCCCGCCGTGGAGGCAGCGCCTGATGTGGAGTGGCCGCCGCCTGCAACTGCTAGGTCCATTCCATGCTTTTGTGCAAAGGTGAGGGCGGTGGAGATGTCGCGTTCGGTACTGGGGAGGATAACGAGGGCCTAAGGGGGTTATTGTTAGTCGGCGGATGCAATGGGGATAGGTCAACATACAGCGGGCTTCTCTGCACCGTCCGACCAGCGCTTGATCGAGGCGCGATATTCTTCCGAGCCAGGGAGAAGAACGATCGAGTCCGGCAGCTGATCCCGGAGCTCCTGGATAGTACTCATATTCAACATACTCGGCGACATGGTGGTGAGACTCTGTTAAATCAAGCAAAGGATATTAAGGATGGGGACGCCTTGGATTCGTAGCCTGGGATGCGAAGCATTTATCTACATCTAGATCTCTTGATCACAAAGAAGAGTCGTCAACACGGATACGAGATTATTGAGCTCGAGTTCCGTTGGCGACGTACGGATACGGGTTGATTTTCTTTATCTTCCGGCCGCGAGCCATGGTTTGTATGAGGTTATTAGGTATCACTAAAACCTAGTGATAGCTCACCTCATGGCTCAACATTTGCGTATCAGGATATTCTCTTATTTGCTTTCAAACCCCACTCATCATTTTGTATTACCGCTGCGAGCATATATGATTACAGGATGTGGAGATGGATGCCAGTATCCATAACAGGCGGTGGTGAACATGCCCTAATTGCCGGGTGATGGCGCGGTCAGGATTCAGAACTTACCCCGCAGGCTCAAAATCTGTAGCTCGACAGCTCTTAGCAACCCGACTGTGAAACCAATCACCACAGCTGGTCAGTGAGTAATCGGATGAAAGAGATAGGCTGCTCCAGATGGCTCTCTGGCACATACAACCACAGGGTGTAGAAAACAGGGCTTTCCATCCGCTTAGCTGTCCTTAAGCCACCTGTAAGGGCTAAGGGGTGAAATAGCGTGATGAACAAATAGCTCTCGCGAAGCCTAAGGTGCCAATGTATTGCCTTAAGGTGTTGTTGCTGATCTACCTAACTCGCGGGACAGCCGCTGCCCTTGTGGGCGGCCGCGGCCGGCTCGCTTAGCCGTCACGTGGCCGCTGCCTTAGGCCGTCGATATACATTTCCCTTCGCGGGTAACCGCGAAGGTTGGAAGGGCTGTTTGGGCCCTTACACCACCTCTTAAACACAGCCGAGTAAGATACAAGCCCTTTTTAGTTGCTGCTTTAT